TTTGTGCTGAAGAGGTGGACTGCTTTCCTGGTAATCTCGGCTGGAATTCGAGGGTCCACCTTTTGCAGTGTCGCAACAGCACGGTTGAATTCCATAATCTCCACTGTCTTTCTTGGTCGTGGTTTCTTGTCAGGTGGAACTTCTGATGCTGCTGGCATGCGCTCTGGGTGGCGGAGGCCGAACTTGACTCCTCGGACCCATTCCTCTTTGGATCCTTCCTGTAGGTTGATGAGCATATGTCCTGAAGGGACATTGACGGAGGCTGTGGAATGGTCGTCCCCAGAATGGGCAGGTTTCTTCTGCTTTTGGCGTGATGGTGCAGGATGGGTGTGAGTGGTTTTGTGGAAGGATCATGTGGAGTGCTGTGACGGGGAGGGGGTTGTTTGTAGTCAACCCAGTTGGATTGGTGTGATGAAGCAGAGTTCTTGGAGTCTTTCCACTTTCCCCATGACTGCCACTTGTCGTTGGACGACTGTTCCTGGTAGTAAGATCGATCATGGTGATCAGTGTATAGGTGGTGGCCTGTTGGTTGGTCCACCAAGGTTCGGCTTGGAGAGTTGGCGTTGTGGAGGGGTATTCTGGTGGCTGTTGATGCTCCTCGATCGTTTGTCGCGCTTCTCGATGGTGTGGGGAGGCCGATCGAAGAGTGATTGATCGCTCCTGGTCTAGTCGTCGAGATTCCTGTCTGCGAGTGGACCCATCTCTGGAAGTAGATAGAGGTCTCGATGAGCGCCTGCGGCGTCGTGTTGAACGTCGACGACGAGGACTACGATGGACGGAGATCGGACGTTTGTCGTGTCTCTGTGAAGAAGATCGATGGCGGTGGGAGCGAGATCTGCGTGAGGATCGTTGTTGAGGTGGTGGATTTCTGAAGGTGGTGCCATGGAGGATGACTGATATTGGGTGGAGGCATGGGAACTGGTGGAGTTGGTGTTGGAATGATGTGGGCTTGACGCTCTTGAGTCTTTTTTTACCATTGCTTGAAGACTGGATTCAACTGTGTTCTTCATCTGTTGAAGAATCTCATCAGGATTGAAGGATGTAGTAGGCCCAGATTGCGTGGCTGGATACTGGATTGGTCACGGGTGCCGGTGGATCTGGTGCCGGAGGTGCTGATGGCTGTGGTGTGGATTGGAATGAAGCGGATGGAGGTTGGACAGTTGGTGGAGGTTGGTGGAATGGAAGAAGTTGTTGGAGATGATTGATATGAGATTGAGCCTGTGAGTGGAGGTGTTGATTCAGCATCGCGTTCTGTTGTTGTAGAGCTGAAATCTGCGCCTGGGTCTGAGCTTGAGACTGCTGACCCATTGGATCACCTCCACAAAATTGGCCAGGGAATCCCATCGACTGAGGATTCCATCCAAAGTTCCACATCGATTCAGGGGCGTTGGGAAAGCGTCCCGGGAACATGGCAGCAGTGTCAGGTGAAGTAGATTGAAACAAAAGAAAAACAGTTCACAACTGATGCATCCACATTATCGTGCAAGTTTCCCCTTATTGCAGGCTCAGAGGCCTAAATGTCACGTCACCCCCATGGACAGCTTACGTGCGACCCCTGAATTACGTGCACAATTGAACCTCACCAACGACCAAAAAAGAAGAGGCACCATACCTGCAAGCATGTCCTGAAGCCTGACCTGATCATGTGACATGCTGTAAGTTGTTGAGCACCGTACTCACTTGGGCAAAGTTGGAAAAAGAATTGTTGTCGCGGCTGAAGTCTACCAACCCTTGAGATGCAGACGAAATGGTGACGCCAGGTACGGCGGCAAGCAGTTTCAACATTCACTCGACCGACCTGTGAAACACTGAAGAAAAAGGCCGGCAATTCACTTTACTTAAACGAATTATTAATTCAAAAATGTAAATTCAGACATCAGGTCGTTGCATCCACACTTTGCTTAGACAAGCATTCCCCGAAGGGTTCATGCCACCTTGACGAATCCAGCATGAATCACACACTTGCTCAGAACCATCTTTGCGAAATTTGATGTGGACTGCATCGTACGTGCAAAACACTTCAGTAAAACCTGACAGGAGTAGTTGGAAGATCAGAAGTGAGAAACTACTCGAAGGTAATCTTTCTACGTCCTTGCTAGATGAATCAAATCACTCTGATGCAGCTCGTTCTTCCTCTATTGACAGTGTAAAATGGTCAGATTGCGGCGACCGTGTAAAACCATGTACAGGAGTTGTTAGGAAACGGCATGGTGGTTCTTGGGTTAGCCACGTCCCACTGCAGAAAATTGACATGAAAAATGAAATTTGAAGCAGGTACGTCAAAGGGACATCTCCCTTTGATATCACTGTGACTTCTGGCCGTCTTCGTTGGCACAGGAACCAGAGTCACACCTGTGCCCCCTGCTGAATACATACATACATAAGTTGATGAAAATGAGACCCTGAGTGATTCAAGAAACTGAGAAATAAAATACCACGAGTGTTAGAAGTTTTACATCTTTTCAGATGTTTCACACACACACATGTGAATTCAGCGTGAAGAATGTGATGCTGGCCTAAGCTTGGACGCTGTCGCCCCATCAACATGAAATGCTGTGACTTTGACCCAAGTTGCCCTCATGAATCAAATATGCCCAAGGAAAAATTTGCGATAGTACAAAGTGGTTCGAGGGGGATTATGATAACCTATGTTTTTTAGGGTAGGTGAATATGGCACTCTTCAAATCAACTCATTGTAATCCCTTCCCCCTAATACTAAACTCCCCCCCACATGATAAGCACCTCAGGTAGTTTCTATTATTAAGGGGTATTTAGTATTAGGGTGCGAAGCTTCCCCCTAATACTCAATTAAAAAACATAATATAAAAACTGGTTGGTGTTTTGGAAAATTTTTTACTTTTCCATACATTTGGAATATTAATTCCAACTGACAAATATTTTTCAGAGGGGTTGAAACCACCAACTAGAAAAACTATTTGCCAAACATTGGATTTCGAAGCTTTCCCCTAATACTAAATTCAAAAACCCTAATATTAAAACTAAAATTTTCTATTTCAAAATGGATGAGATTTCGATTAGATTTCCTTTTAAGATCTGATTAACATATTGACAAAAATTGGATTTCGAAGCTTTCCCCTTAATACTAAATTCAAAAACCCCAATATTAAAGCTAAAATTTTCTATTTCAAAATCGATTCGATTTCGATTAGATTTCCTTTTAAGATCTAATTAACATATTGACCGAAATTGGATTTCGAAGCTTTCCCGTAATATTAAATTTAAAACTTAATTTCAAAAGAAATGTAGAATTTTCGATTTCAAAATCAAATAAACTCCCTTGTAGAATCTAATTGAAATGTTGCCAAAAATTGGATTTCGAATTATAGATTTTATACTTTAAAGCAGGGGGTCACCGGGGTCCCGGGGGGGGTCGGTGACCAATGAAGACACCTCCCCGGGACCCGTGAAAACGTACCTGGGCGCATAAAAGCCGCAGCTGGTGGTCACCGCAGTCCCATATATATATATATTTATATCTATATATATATATATCTGTATGTAAGTAAGTAAGTAAGTAAGTAAGCAAGTAAGTAACTAACTAACTAACTAATCTAGGTGCATGTTTAGGGGACTCAGTTCCCGACGGATCTCTTAAAAGATCCATTCTTGTCTAGTGTGATTTCCATGGTGACTCCGACATGGTGTCATGGAGCCAATTGAGGCAACCCTTCTTAGGGTGACTGTCGACTGATCGGATTACAGAATTGACACTTTTAATCTGGTAATTCGTTTAAGTAAAGTGCAACAGACGGCCTTTCGGTTATGCACCATTTTGCGAAGTCCCGGTGTTCCTGTGGTCCCTTGCGAACCTCTGGATTCGGTTTCTTCCTGCCTGAAGCCGTTCCGAACAATCAGAAACTCTCTTTGTTCCGCAGGTTGAATTTTTTCAGAAAGCAACAAGTCAAGAAGGCACCAGGCATGTCTCTTTCCTGCAGGTGTGGTCACTTTGGTTTCTGGTGGGGTTGAACTCCGGGTTGAACATATTGTGCACTTAATTCGTTCGAACTTGAACAGCTGTTTATGCACATGTGGCTTGACTTGACCACGGTCCCGGTTGGGAGTAACGCACGACTCTTTAGGTCTGAACTGAGTCCCCCTTAATTGTTGTTGTTTTTTCAATTCGCCAACTAGTTCCCCATTTGGTCCCCTATTTCATGCGTTCCTCCCTCCCTAGGTAGGTCGGGTCCTGCGCGTGCCGAGGTAGGCGTAGGTTTTCGCCGTGTCAGGTTGGTTCAGGGGCTTCCGTCTTCCCCCCCCCTCCGCTGGTCTTGTTCCGTGTCCGTCGGCCTCCGGTTTTCTTTTCCCTTGCCCTTTCAGGGTTTGCCTGCTCCGGGCCAGGTGTGTTGGTATGTGTTTGCTTCTTCCCTCTTCTTTTGCGTTCCCCTCCTCGGGTCCCGGTTAAGTAATCTTTCATCTCATCATCATTCCCCTTGTCATTCTCATTTTCACCTCATGTGCCTGGACACCACCCTGCCAAAGGCAGGGTGTGTGTGTGTGTGTGGAACGTCTGAGCAGACGAAAGACTTCGCTCGTCGTTCATGATATAATATATATTATATTATATTATACTTTAAAGCAGGGGGTCACCGGGGTTTCGGGGAGGGTCGGTGACCAATGAAGACACCTCCCGGGACCCGTGAAAACGTACCTGCGGGACTGTGGCGACGCACCTGGGCGCATATAAGCCGCAGCTGGCGGTCACCACAGTCCCATATATATATATATAAGTAACTAATCTAGGTGCATGTTTAGGGGACTCAGTTCCCGACGGATCTCTTAAAAGATCCATTCTTGTCTGGTGTGTGTGCGTGCGTGCATATATGTGTATATACTTGCATAGCTGTATGTTTTTCTTGTTACATGCATACACATGTCTATTTGATGTTGAATCCTCTATCAAGACATCACCTAATATTGGAGCTTTCCATAATCATGGGGGTACCCCAAGTTCTGGATGGTGATGGAAACTCCATCGACTCCTTCGACTTCGCCGGCGGCGTCGCCGCCGGCCCCACTTGGAGAAGATCTCCACCTCGCCGTCCGCAAGCTCCGAGGCCGCCTCGCCATGCTCCTC